CCTCTTTTGTAACCACACATGCACGCACAATTGAATGAGCACACAAGGTGAACGCATTATTAACAATTTCTTACAAATACTAGTTGTATTTTGTGAACGTATTGTGAATGTGCTATGAATCACGAGATCACCTTGTGTGCATATTCAATTGGGGGTTGTAAACTTAAATCTACCATATGTGAGTACATTGTGAACGTCAATTAAATTTAAATCGACCACTAGTAAACATGAATCTTGTAAACACCCAGTAAAGATTTTTTAAAGATTGTATATATTGTCTTCACTTTATGTGCACATTCAATCATGGTGTATGTGTATGCATGTATGTTACCAGTGGCGGATGCAGAAAAATATATTGTAGGGGGCACGATATAAAAGAAAATAATAATTAACTTCAATTTCATACAAAAATGATAAAAAGTTACCTCTTACAACTATGCCCTACGACTCTTCATCTTTTGAAATTGAGTAATTACATCATCATTTGAAACTGTGAGAAGTGCTTCTTTTTCTATAGTACATATCATTGCAACATTCAAAAATTTATCATCGATTTTGTTGCGCAAATCTGACTTCACAATCTTCATAGCAGAAAAACATCTTTCGACTGTTGCAGTAGCAATTGGCAAAACCAAAGCCAACTTCAATAACCGATACTAGAGGCTAAGTTTGATGCTTTTTTGTTTCCACTAGCAGTCTAGCGAGCTCGACAATACCACTCAAATTGGCAAATCTTTCATCTTGACGCACAATCAAATAGTACATGTTAAGTTGTTTCTCAAGAGCGATCCTTTCCATATGACTAAAATCTTGAGGATACAACTCACTCAACTTCAATAAATCTGATACATTGAACTGCGAAAATGAATCGCATGGACTCAAAGCTGCTATATTTTTAAGCAATTCAGTACTTACCTCACTAAATCGATCCTCAAACTCTTGAATTTGCATGTCCACAACAGTGTTGAAAATATCAAACTTGTAATAATAACAATTGGTGATGTTGGTCATTTGTCTTCCGTTTTTTGAATAACGGTCTTCCATATCCAAAGCCTTAATACCATTTGCTTCACAAAAAGAATACATTTTCTTCAAAAGTGGATCAAAACCAGTTTCTCTAAATTGTTGCAATAGTTGTTTGGTTCCTCTTATCAATGAAACCGCTTCCTAACCTAAAATACCTAACCTAAAGCATTTACCAATTACCACAAAAT